TCAGGTTTGCAAATTAAAGCTTTGTTTGTTGCAGCTGTGTTACTGGTCATTTCATTCTTTTGCAGGTTTCTTTCTGATGCTATATCTTGCACTTCTTTGCTGTAGCTGGCTATGCTTGTGTGTCTGGGTCCATAACCTGTTAGAGATTCTGTATATAGCCCTACAGAACAGACAGTGCACAGTCCACATTTGTTTATCTGCTGCTTCTTTGCTAACAAGAAACAGGAAATTTATTATAGAGAAAAGACATAGAGTTCTATCATAGATGCAGTTACAAACTTATAAACACTGACATCTACTGGCTAATGTAATTGTTGCACAAAAATACATAAACATTGTATTTTAAGAGAAACTTATATGGGTCATAACCTTTCCATGCACTATCCAAAATCAAAAAAATAATATTTTTGCTTTTAGCTGTTAAAGTGGATGTAAACATCAGACATGCAAAATGAACAGAGCATAACCTATACTGTGTACTTGCCTCTATTCAAAGCACTGAGTGTGATTTCTCTCTGCTGTCTTGTCCCTCTGTTATCCGCACTTCTGACAGGTTGTCCTGACATCAGGAGATGAAAAGGTAACAGTGGAGGAGAGCTCCCGCACACAGCCTGTGATTCATATACTCAGTTTTCAATGTTTTCTGTGTACTGTGTGAAGGGTGTGTGTCCCTTTCCTCCAATCAGGGTTCAAAGCTGTCCTCATTGAGATCTGCACCATGAGACTTCAGCTCCCCAACCCCTGCATTTCAGAGCTGAGTGATCTGCTGTAAATTCTAGACTTTGAATGGCTGTAGAGGACATATGATTGCAGATAAAAAGGTACAATTTATGTAGGAGGATTTGTTTAATCTCTATGTATCATCTAATTTCACTGGGTGTATGAGAGGGTTTTCGACCACTTTAAGTCTTGTGTAATGAATAAAATGAACACAGCTTCTTTTCCTTTAGTAAATCATCTTTAGTGCTGAATCTCTTGTATAGCGTTGCCAAGAAGGGGCAGAATTCAAATAATCTCTGGCTGTTCGTTTGCCTCTCCTGGGCAGATAGCAGAGCATGAATCGCAGACTAGCTGCCAAAACTTTTCTGTGTCTTTGCTTTGAATGAGGAGTAGCTAGGAGACAGCAAGCAACCAGAGAAGACGGAATTTCCAACGTGTAAAATGTCCTTAACGGAGCCATTGAAAGAGTGCAATAAGGCGTGAGGGGGAACTAATCTCCCCATTTAAATGTTTGTGGCAATTTTATCTAAATGAATTTTAATGCTAAACGAGGGATAATTCCCTAATTGTGATCAGTTTACTTGCCCCCGATGCCTTCTAACATCTTGCACTGAACAATAGCAATACTCTCAATATCTGATTAATTTTAAAAGCATTAATAGTTGATTAACAATTGCTCTGGAGAGGATGGAAGAGGTGTAAGAGACAGCACTGGTCTTTTAGAAAAAAAAAGTATGTATTTGATCTACATCGGCAACTGGAATTGCATGTGCCTCTCTTTGTTAAAGAGGGCGGTTTGTTTTTGTCCTTTTAAGTCGCTGCGAAAGGCAGCTAAATACCGTTTGGCAAAGAGCATCTCTGTGGATGTGCATATTGCCTGGCAAATCACAGACATTGGAAGTAGGAATGAGAAGAGATCTCCCTAAAGGGTATAGAACTCCTTAAAGGCTATGTTCACTTTTTGGCAAATGTTTTTTTACCTGCAAAAAATGAGCATTTATTATTTTTTGTTGCAAGAGCCTGTAAAGCAGAGGTATTGAATTAATCTTCACCAAGGGCAGTAAAATTTTCATCCAGCAGAGGTCCAAAATGCATGTAGGCATCTGTGGTGCATTTCTGTGTGCGCCAAACCACGTTACTACGGTGCAATTTTGAAAAAAAAGTGTCATGGACTTCTTTCTTTGACCCTCTTTTGCTGACCTACCCACAATGTGAGCACCAAATGCACATGTACAGATCTGAACCTGTTCTTACATCAGTGTCCTCAATCCCCACTGCACATCACAGTTCCCTCCCTTTTCACAGCAAGATCCCCTCTTGTTGAGTGTCCTCAGCTCCCCTTTGCATCACCCCCTCCACCCCTTTCACAGTTGTGTTCTCCTACTTCCTTGACATCAAACCTCCCCCCTCCATATTACAATTCTCAGCCCCCCACTTTAATGTCCTCAGCCCCCACACATCACATTCCTTAGCCCCCCACATTATTTTCCTCAGCCCCCCCCCCCCCCCAATTTTAATGCCATCACCCCCTATATCACAACCTCTAGTCCCCCACCACCCCTTTCAAAGTTGTGTTCTCCCACTTCCTTGACATCAAACCTCCTCCCTCCATATTACAATTCTCAGCCCCCCACTTTAATGTCCTCAGCCCCCACATTATTGTCCTCAGCCCCCCCCCCCCCCAATTTTAATGCCCTCAGCCCCCCCACATAGCCTCTAGCCCCCCACATTTCAGGCCTCAGCTCCTCCACTGTAATTATAATTTCCTCAACCCCCCCCCCCCCCCACTACTGTCCTCAGTCCCCCAACATTACTGTTCTAAACCCTCCCCACGTAATGTCTTCAGCCCCCCAACATTCAGTCTTTGGTTTCTTTTCACATCAGCCCCCCCCCCACTGTCCTACCTTACACAGACAGTGATTGATAGACAATGATTGATTGCTAGGACTGCCCTTCATCTTAGCAACCAATCACTTGCTTGTTAACCTTGGGCAGCTCCCACCCTCCATCCAGAATTGTCCTGCCTCCCGCTGTCAGCTATGTGAGGATGATGGCTGGGGGAAGAAAAGGCTCCTAAATGGCGAGACCACATGGGTCTGCATGGGGCAGTGACTTGGTCCATAATTTAGTGATGCCTGCTGTAAAGCTTTGCACCCACGATCAGCAGGTCGCTGGTGATTTGTAGTTCTCCTGCAGACCTGTCAGTGTATCTGCTTGCCCATACATCCCATACAGGCAAGCAGGTCCACTGACAGGAAGAATCAATGAACATTTTGTAAAGCGCTGAGCAAACTGTTGGCACTATATAAATCCCGTATTATAAAAATAATATTTAGAATGAACTACCATGGCACCACAGTACCGTGGTAGTTCATTGAGAGTCCACAAAGGATGTCAGTACTTGCAGTTCATTAATTCGCAGAACTCTGAGAATGAATGACATGGCTGTGTATTTGGAGCCCTGCGCAGCTGTGCTGTCTTTAGAAAGTGACAGCTAGTACAGGGAACTTCTCCCCATGCTGCTGTCACAGGGAGGGGGGGGGGGGGGAATCAGGCAGTGGCTGCAGCATTGGGAATATGTTACATGTTCCACCGTAAAAACGGGGGGAGCATGTAACATGTTCCCAAAGGCAAACTTATCCTTTAAAATGAACGTATTTTGCTTGCTTCCTTTTGATCTGTTAAAGTTGGACTCCTGGCACAAAATTTTTCATTTAAATTAGCAGCTGAAAAATATATAAATCTACTTTGTGAGCACCAAATGCCTCTGCATAAACCAGATATTACTTTGCAAAAGTAATGGGAACATCACGGCTGTGCTGCACATAAACTTTGCAGAGAGCAGAGTTGTGGGAGGGACCCAGAGGGCCCCACCCATTACAGGCTGCCTGTAGAACACTACAAGAGAGGGCGGGGACAAGATCTGTCACCCTGCACAAGGAGAGAGAGCAGCAGTGACTGGTGTGTATTACAGGATGCTCCTGCACAGAGGAAAGTGCAGGAATAGTTTTGTGCTGGACTATTGCACAGATCAGGAAAAATACACAAAGGACTCCAAGTTACAGGTAAGAATCTGGATGGCTACTGAATTTACACAATTTTTCTTTAGCCCAGATTTCAGCCTCAAAGGATAAGTTCACCTTACGTTCATGTTTTTAGGGTGGAATATATAACATGTTCCCTTTCCTGCAGCCACTGCCCACTCCAAGGGTTCTAGTGACAGCAAGTGGGGATCTTCTCCCCCCACTTGCTGTCACTATTTTAAAAAATGCTCGCCCAGATGCATCATTCATTCACAGAGTTCTGTGAATGGGTAACTACAAGTAGCAACAGCCTTTGTGGCAGTCAGTTTGTAGTTTTCAATGAACTACCATGGTGCTGTTGAGCGCTCTGGTAGTTCATTGTCTCTACCTGTCTGTGTGTATCTGCTTGCCTGTACGAAGTACGAGCACACAGATACACTCATTGTTTGCAAGAGTCCTCAGCATCAGCAGATCGCAGGGGCAATTTACATGATCTAAGTAAAAAAATATTAAATTCACATTTTTTTACCTGATAATAATAATAAAGTGCTTGTGAGCCACTAGAATTCCATGTGATTATAAATATAGCTAATTATATTGCTGTGTAATATAAAAATTATTAAAGTGCAATAGCGCCGCGCTCCTCTTACTTCACTAAATGGGCTTAAACAATTAATAAGTACCAAAAATATGTGCTATGATTCAATCAAACATGAATAATCAAAATAAATATAAAAAAATAAATGAAATTTATAATCAATTCATATAGTAATATTTCCAAAGTCAATTTCATAAGTTTCCATAAAAGTGCTTCTCTTGAAAAAAGTGCTTCTCTTGAAAACAAGTGCTCTTCAAATTTTGGATCATAATATGCGCTTACCTCAAAGGAAGCCTAACTATCAATTAGGCAACCACAGCTTTTTATTTAGCCACCTCCCGCCCGCCATATAGTAATATGATGGATGCAAGGTGGTTCTCTCGTTCTGGGAGGATGTCATATGACGTCCTGCCATTCTCACCGTGCATGCGCAGCTCAGGGAGTGTGCAGCGCGGTGATCGGCGGTGCGCTGTGTCCCTCGGACACAGCGGATCACCGATCACGGAAAGAGCCGAAGATGTCAGCTCGGTCATGTGATCAGCGGTGTCCAATCACAGCTGATCACATGTAAACACGGAAATGCCGGTTATCGGCATTTCTCTCCTCTCAAGCTGTCACGCTGACAGCTCGAGAGGAGAGACGGTAATCGGCTTTCCGCGGAAGGGACATGTACACTGATCATCAGGGCACTGATGATCAGTGTGCCCTGATGATCAGTGAAGCCCCAGCAGTGCCTCGTGCCAGTGCCCATCAGTGCCACATATCAGTGCTACCAGTGCACATCAATGCCACATATCAGTGCCCATCTGAGCTGCCTTTCAGTGTCACCCATCAGTGCCAGTCAGTGCCACCTATCAATGCCAATCAGTGCCAACCAATATATAAATAAATATCGTGCTTCGCTCCTCTATTATTATCATCAAAGACATATTGATTACGTGTATAAAATAAACTAAAATAAAATCTAATATAAATAAAGTGTGAAAAAAAAAAAAAATCATTTCCCCCTGATGAAGCCACGTAACCGGTGGCGTAACGCGTAGGGGAGGGGCTCTGACGTCACCGCGTGCAGTCTGCTTTTCTGGTGAGTACAGACACAGTGTGTGTTAACACACTGCTACCTTTTCTTCTTAAAGGCTTGTTTATTTTAATGAAAATGTGAGTGTGACAGACAGAGTTTGGCAATAAAAGGAGTTTTATAAGGATAAAGCACTATCTTCTGTTTTTCTTTGCAATTATATGTGGAGTTTGCTGGAGTAATTCTGGAGGATTGTTCCCCTGGAGGGGAGAAGGAGGGAAGATTCATCCAACTATCCACACACCGATAGATCCATACAAGATAATGAGGAGAGGAGTGATACCAGGTTAACCAGGAAAACTGTAGTTTGGAGAGATTGTTTGAAGGTGATAAGCAGCCAAGCATACTTCATCCTTTTATAGGATAAACTGCGTGATTTAGCCTGTTGTGGCTGGAGACGGAGGTGAGAGCATGATAGAGCTGTATTTATGCTGCAAAAGTTTTTGGAACCTGGAGTGTATTCATCTAATTAGCACAGATTTCTCAAAAAGAAAGAGGACTCTTATGTATCAGTCTCTGGATATACAATGATACATTTATTTCCATAGTATAAGGGGATTGTATAAGCACAGTGGACATTTGTTTTTTTCACATTTTGTTTTTTTCACATTTTGTTTTGTTTTTTTCACACTTTATTTATATTAGATTTTATTTTAGTTTATTTTTTACATGTAATCAATGTGTCTTTGATGATAATAATTGAGGAGCGCAGCACGATATTTATCTATATATTGGTTGACACTATTGTGTGAGTTGGTGTGATGTGTTTGCGAACCTGAAAAATTTTTTTTTTTGATTTATGTTTATTGAATATTTTTGTGTTGTGTTTGCAGAGAATTCACTGTATTGGCTCACAGGTGGACAGTTGGTTTTGGATTTTTATTTTCAATCAGTGCCACCTATCAGTGCCACCTATCAGTGCCAGTCAGTGCCGCCTATTAGTGCACATCAGTGCCGCCTATCAGTGTCTGTCAGTGCTGCCTATCAGTGCCAGTCAGTGCCGCCTAACAGTGCCAGTCAGTGCTGCCTATCAGTGCCAGTCAGTGCCATGTATCAGTGTTGCCTTTCAGTGCTCATCAGTGATGCCTGTCAATGCCCATCAGTCCCACCTACCAGTGCCTCCTCATCAGTGTCACCTATCAGTGTTCATCAGTGCAGCCTATCAGTGCCCATCAGTGCAGCGTCATTAGCGCACATCAGTGAAGGAGAAAAATCACTTATTTACAAAATTTTATAACAAAAACTAAGAAAAAAATTTTTTTTTTTCAAAATTTTCAGTGGTTTTTGGTTTGTTTAAGAAAAAATAAAAAACCCAGAGGTGATTAAATACCACCAAAATAAAGCTCTATCTGTCACAAAAAAATGATAAAAATTTCATATGGGTAGTGTTGAAATGTTGCATGACAGCGCAATTGTCACTCAAAGTGCGACACCGCTGAAAGCTGGAAATTGGCCTGGGCAGGAAGGGGGTATAAGTGCCCGGTAGGCTTGTGGTTAAAAACAGGATGAATCATCTCTTTTGTATCAGTGATATGCAGGATAATAGGTATAATTCTCCATTTCATCCACCGGGGTTTGCTTGATAATCTACTTCCCTTATACAGATAGGATTACGTGGACCTCTCCCTCTTAGTGCTGCAGGACAAGGATTTATCTTTCCTTTTCTTCGCTTTCCTTATTTCTCCTCAGTATGAGACATATGGAAAAAAGAAGCATATAGTGCCTTATCCTTTAACACTTTTATTTGTGTGCAGTATAACAATACACTCACAATGTCAACAATATTATTAAGCCTTCCAGAGCCTCCTCTGTGTGTGCTGAACACACAGTCTATACTCGTCGCTATGATTTTGACTGCGTGGTGATGTCAGAGCCCCTCCCCTACGCGTTGCGCCACCGGGTCACGTGGCTTCATCAGGGTGATTTAGGGGCACTAATGTACTTTAAACATTTTTTTACCTGCCGATAGATGCGCATTTGTTTTTGTTTTTTTAAACATGGACTTATCCTTTAAATATGCAATTGAAAACATTTAGTTATATCTATTTGATAAGTGCAAAATATGCCTGCAAATTTCCAGTCCACTGAGTTCTTTATTCTTTGGTTTGTTATCTAAAGCACTGTTATCAGCGCTGCCCAGCTCATATTTTTGAACTACACAACACCTCCCACTAAGTTATTGAGATGAGGGAGGGGGTGCTCTGTAGTCCATTTCCAGTCCTAAGATACAGATCAGTAAGTGAGGATTGTCACACTAGGCTTACCAGGTGAAAAAGAAGAAAACAAATACTGAAAAATGAAAACTAAGGTAGACACTAAATTTAGTGATTAATAAGCAGCAATGCACACTATATACACTATATTGGGACACCCTCCAAATCATTGGATTCAGGTGTTCCAATCACCTCCATGGCCACAGGTGTATAAAACCAAGCACCTAGGCATGCAGACTGCTTCTACAAACATTTGTGAAAGAATGGGTCACTCTCAGGAGCTCAGTGACTCCAAGCGTGGTATCGTGATAGGTTGCCACCTGTGCAATAAGTCCATCTGTGAAATTTCCTTGCTACTAAATATTCCACGGTCAACTGTTAGTGGTATTATAACAAAGTGGAAGCAACTGGGAACAACAGCAACTCAGCCACAAAGTGGTAGGCCACATAACATGACAGAGCGGGGTCAGGGCAGAAGAGCACAGTGAGCAGAAGTTGCCAACTGTCTGCAGAGTCAATAGTTAAAGACCTCCAAACTTCATGCAGCCTTCAGATTAGCACAACAACAGTGTGTAAAGAACTTCATGGAATGGGTTTCCATTGCCGAGCAGCTGCAACCAAGTCTTACATCACCAAGTGCAGTGTAAAACGCCAGATGCATTGGTGTAAAGCACACCGCCACTGGACTGTAGAGCAATGGAGACGTGTTTACTGGAGTGACAAATCATGCTTTTCTGTCTGGAAATCCAATGGATGTGTCTGGGTTTGGTGGTTGCCAGGAGGATGGTACTTGCTTGACTGTAAGTGTAAAGTTTGGTGGAGGAGAGATTATGGTGTGGGGTCATCTTTCAGGGGTTGGGCTTGACCCCTTAGTTCCAGTGAAGGGAACTCTTAAAGGGTTACTGAACACTTAATTTATTTTTAAATAACAAACATGTCTATACTTACCTGCTGTGTGCTGTGGTTTTGCACAGAACAGCCCAGGCCTCTGCTCGTGTCTCCTGCAGGCTCTCCTGGCCCCTTCCTCCTTTCAGGTGCCCCCACACAACAAGCAGCTTGCAATGGGGGCACCCACTGCTCTGTGTGTCCATTCACACACAGAGCAGTGGCTTGGCCCCACCCCCTCTCTCTTCTCATTGGCTCACTGGCTGTGATTGACAACAGTGGGAACCAATGGCTCTCGCTGCTGTCTCAGCCAATGAGAAGAAGGAGTCCTGGGATAGCCAAGACTCCAGTGCACATCGATGGATTGAGAGGGGGCTTAGGTGAGTATAGGGGGGGCTGGGGGGGGATGCTGCACAGAGAAGGTTTTTTACCATCATGCGTCATCCAGAGACGTTTTTGCATTTTTTGCACACGTTTAAAAAATCATTTTAGGCCTGAAGATTACACAAAACCCCCAAACATTATATATTTTCTGAAACAGACACCCTAGAGAATAAAATAGTGGTAGTTCCAATTTTGTATGTCAGACGATATTACTGCAAATGTCTAAGAAAAACAAAATGTCAGTAAAAACACACTAAAGTGAATTTTAGGGCAAACAAACACAATAAATTACCCAATATTTGGTAAAATATAAAAGATGAGGTTGCTCCAAGTAAATAGATACCAAACATGGTAAATATTAAATTTGTGTGCACCTATATTTTCTACAAGTACCCTTTTTTTTATAGGTGACACTTTAAAAACCCCTACAGGTCAGCAGGCTCCATTTATGTATAGCAATGCAGATTGCATTTCAATACATTCCTCCCCGGCTATAAGTGACAGGGTGACCCGGAAGTGATGGCATACACATCACTTTTTGGGTCACAGCAGGAAGGGGAGGAGAGTGGACATGTGTCAACTCTCCTCCGTCCCCTCCACCCACCGTAGAATACATGGCAGGAGTGCGTGCACGCACTGCTTGGTGCCTTTTCCGGGGTGTATGGAAACAATCGGACGGCAGCACAGCCACCCGATTGCTTCCACCTGACAGGCAGGAATATGGACCTGGCAGAGAAAGGGTTAAACAACCACACAACTGCTGTCTCAATCATGAGTTTGGTATAATTGTTTTCAGCCAGTTCATGGATATAGAGTAAAATCAGACTGGGTGGCTTTAGAGCAGTCCAGTCACTTTTACAGTACTGTGAAGGTGCCTTCTTAACAGTACTGTGAGATCTGGAGTGGAGGGCACTTCCCTTTGTAGTAGCAATAAAGTTTAATGAAAAAAAAAAAAAAAAGCAAGTGTTTAGCATTACAAATGCATCACACTGTTTACTCTTTTTTTTTTAAATAGAACTTTATTGAAATGTCACAATTGACATTTTTATTTGTCACGAGTGACATTTCAATTTAGTTCTATTCATTGCAGGGGTGTTGTAATATGGTGGTTTGCGTTGCAGTCCGTTACACTGAAAAAAAAGTTCTGCATGCAGTATTTTATATCAGTGCACACCAAAGCAACACTGTGGTTTGAACTAACAACATTGAAAGCAAGGCATTTTGCCTTCTCTGTGCATTGGGACTGCACTTGACATAGCTGACAGCACAGCCCCAATGCATCTGGAGTGAACAGGCGCTTGAGGATAGGCAAATATTGATAAATACAAGAGTCATGTGTATTCCGCCTTGAATCTTATTGTGTGCTTTGTATATTTCTTTCAGATCTGTACAGTGTAAAACCTTGCCTTTATACCGGAGTTTTCTGTAATATAGACCAGTCACTGCTGTTCTTTCTCCTTGTGCAAGGTTACCAGCTTTTAGCCACCCCCTCCTGTAGTTTTTGCCGGAAGCCAGTAGTGGGTGGAGCTGCTGGGTCCCTCCTACAACTCTGCTGTCTGAACAGGCTATATACAGCCTAGTGAAGATGTCACTGCTACTTTTACAAGGTAACATCTGGGTTTGTAAAGGCATCTGGTGCAGACAAAGTGGAAGGAAAAGGAAATATCCTTTGTGGGTTTTAAGAAATATATTTAAATGAAATGTTTTGTGACCTGAGTTTAGCTTTAAAAAATAAACTGGTGAAAAGGACACACTCAGGTTTTTGTAACTTTATCTGTGCTAACAGTATTTGGGGACTGAAGATTGTTGATTATTTATCTATCTATCTATCTATCTATCTATCTATCTATCTATCTATCTATCTATCTATCTATCTATCTATTTATCTATCTATCTATCTATCTATCTATCTATCTATCTATCTATCTATCTATCTATCTATCTATCTATCTATCTATCTAACTGTCTGTCTGTCTGTCTGTCTGTCTATCTATCTATCTATTAAATCTACCATTTTATCTAATTAGCTGTCATTTGGCTTTACATACTTTCATCCCATTCATTCATCCTCATATAGACCAGTAGTTTCTAAATAGTGGCCCAATGGTCGGATGTGGCCCTTTGCTTGGCTTTATCCAACCCTTGGGGTACTATTTCTCCCACTGACACCAATGATTCCAGTAACATCAATAATGTGGTATAATTCCTCTCACTGCCACCAACAATGGGATGCCTCCCAATAACACCAAGGACATCAGAGGCATTGTTTACTCCACGGCTTCAACTACCACCTCTATGCTGATGATACTCAAATCTACCTATCCACCCCTCACCTCACCCCCACATTCTCCGCCCGCATCACTCACCTCCTAAACGACATCTCTGACTGGATGTCGCTCCATTTCCTCAAACTCAACCTCTCCAAAACCGAGCTTCTCGTCTTTCCCCCTTCCCGTGCCCCCCCCCCATCCTTTCCATCACTACCAACAACACCACCATCAATCCCGCCCAGCAAGCCAAAGTCCTTGGCGTCATTCTGGACTCAAACCTTTCCTTCCAACCTCATGTCAAATCACTCACAAATACATGCAGGCTCCACCTTCGCAACATCGCCAAAATACGCTCCTTCCTTACCCCAGACACCACTAAACTACTCGTTCACTCCCTGATTATCTCACGCCTTGACTACTGCAACTCCCTCCTCATCGGCCTACCCCAGTGCAAACTCTCCCCGCTTCAGACCATCCTGAACTCA